CTATTTAAGTAATGATAATAAATAATTTTTGTCCAGTATAACATATTGTATGTTCTGAATATACCTATAGATTTAAAAAAAAAAAAAAAAAAAAACATTTATGCACAAAAAGTGCTGACAGAAATACATTTTCACTTAATATTCATCTCCATCATTTTATATATATCTCCGGTATTTTATATTTCACATTATACTTCATCAGTGACACTCTCTCTTTGTGTCCTCCACAGGTCAAGAGGACATGACCAATGGTCTCACATCTCATAACAGCCAGGACGTTCCTGTCACCTCTGTATGCTCCCCAAGCACCAGTTACTGGTGTGTCTCAGAGAACGCAGACTCTCCTTTCCTTCTGTCTCCAATCCCAGGACCATCTACAAAAGACCCTCCTCCATCAAAGCACACACCTGGCCGAGACCACCGGCGCTATTACCATGAGTACTGGCGCAGCGAGTACCTCATGGACTTCGACCCACAGAGACAAGGGATGATCTGCATGGTGTGTGGCAGTTCACTGGCCACCCTGAAGTTAAGCACCATCAAGAGGCACATCAATCAGAAGCATCCGTACTCGCTGCTGTGGACCGAGTCCGATAAAGATGTGATCCGGTCGGGATGGGAGAGTCATTTGAATCGAGAAAACAGCCAGTCGTTATGTCCCGATCCAGATGTTCCTCCAGAGTCACAGGAGATTCTGGATGTTAACAGGCACTCCACAGGTCTGTGTTTATATTGCTTTGTGCTGCTTTGTGCTTGTGTGAAATGTCTGAATCACATTAAACCTGACAAAACATGTGTTAAGGTTCACCCCCCAAAAAATCTATAATATTTTGCTTAAAGAAAAGTAAACAACTTTTGAGAAAAATACAGATATTTTGCCATCTAATATTATTTTCATGAGATTATTTTTAATTATGCACATTCGCCTAATTATCATGACTCATGTAATTCGATTTCAAAAAATTAGAAATATCAATTTAAAATATTATAAACAATTAAATATAATTTTGAAAGTACAGAAGTTATAAAAATATTTTTGTATGTCTATATGTCATGCTCTTTAAAGCCTTTAATGTATGCTAATATTTGTATTTTTTTAATTAATTAAAAATAATTGTGTCTGGGCAGGACTATTTTCATTACTGTAATAATAAGAAATAAAAACTAAAATATTTAAACATCTGGATGGAATACAGTAATGAGATTTTAATGGGAAATGTGTTTAAATCTCATGAAAATACTGTCACAATTCAAAATTTTTTATATACAATTATTATTTGATTTCTTTTTTTATATTGTATTGTAGCACTTTGAATGTGAGGAAAATAATAAGATAATATATACAAATAAGCTGTCTGTCTGTCAGGAAGCTGTTGATCCACTGACAGACGGAGGTGGGCACGGAGAGCTGAGTTAGTTTGGGCAGGAGGAGGTTTGGGATGATGGTGTTAAAGGCCGAGCTGAAGTCCACGAACAGGATCCTCACATAAGTCCCTGGTCTGTCTAGATGTTGCAGAACATAATGCAGTCCCATGTTGACTGCATCGTCCACAGACCTGTTTGCTCTGTAGGCAAACTGAAGAAGATCCAGCAAGGGTCCAGTGATGTCCTTCAGGTGGGCCAGCACCAGTTTTTCAAAAGACTTCAGGGGGAGGAATATCAGGGACTTTACTCACTCCAAGCACCCTGCCAGCTTTAAAGTTGGCTTTCTTTCTTTCCATGTCCTGCTCTGCTTTAGCCAGGTTCTATTGCCTTTTTCTTTTCAAACATGTTTCCAAAGTAATTCAAGTGATTTTTGTTACAAAGATAATAGTTGATCATTACAACAGTTATGAACACTCAAGTAGTCTCTATTCATTCTTCTCACCTCAGTCTCTACCGAATCCTCCAGCAAGAGCCTCCCCATTTTTCCCCCCTTAGAATTTTCTCTCATTAAAAATAAATCAATAAATAATCTTTATTTATTTATTTTAAGGAGTGCAAGAATACCCTTGACTCTTAAAAACAAGAAAAATTACTAGTTTGTGTTGGTCCTCTTGGAGGTGACAACTGTATGTATGTATGTATGTATGTACAGTATGTGTATGTATACATAGGCTATATACACATATTTTTAATGAGAGAAAAATCTAAACCATATGACCAATCAAATGGTATTAATGATTGAAAAACACTATATAAATCTTGCCAGAACCTCTGCATGTTTATTCTTCAAGCACTTCAATTTTCTTCAAGTTATTCACAACCTCAAGTTTCTGTTTGTCCTTGGTGTCTGTAAATCTAGACACGTTAAAAACAGAATTAATTACATAATATGAGCAGATCTGTTGTTTTTGCTTCATTTAGTCAGCTACTAGACATTTAACAAGCTAGAAAAAGGACAACAAAAGGTTAAAAAACAAATAATAATGTGAACAACAATATGTATGTGCATATGTGCAAACAAGACTCATTCAGGCTTCAAACACAGATTTGTTCAGTAGATTCACAGTGAAATGCTACTTCACAGGCTGCACTCAAATGTTATCGGCTTATAGTCTGTCTGTGGAGGAAAGAAAAGCCATCAAAAATGTTCAGTTCAGTGAATAAAAGGTATGATTCAGTGAAAGAATGATTCATTCACTTAAAAGATTCATTCAACACACAGATTCATATAAAACTGTAAATGAGGATGATAATTGTAATAAAGAATCACACAGTATATGTAACATAGATCTCATGCTGCTCTAATTGCCTTATTGATGACATCAAGTGTCGTTTACGTTCAAATGAATCTCAACATTCTATGTCAGCACAGCAGCTTGAGTTGATATTTGAAAATCAACACAACTGTTCCTGAAGCCTTAAATCCTGATCAAGCTCTGCTACAAGCTCTTCACAACTCTACAATTTGGTGTGTCTCAGTAATTTGTTGAGTTTGTAAAGTTTTTCTTGATTCATTAGCATGGAGCAGCGTCGCACAAGAAGAACCAGGGCTCGTCCCACACCTGAGGGGCTTTGTAGTGGAGGGCGTCTCTTCCATTCGAGACCCATGTGAGAATTCACAGCTGTAATCAGGTTGGACCTCTCTTACAGCTGCATCTCTGCGAAAGCTCGAAGACCCAGCGGTCTGGAAGAGCGCTACCTAAAGAATGCTGCTGTCCTTCCCGACATCTGTCCAGCAGGATCAGTCTCTTCAGTGACACCTCTGTGTCAGCAGGAAGAGTCTGTCTCCATTCACGGCTGCAGCATCCAGGGCTACCAGGACATTTACCACTCTGTGGCTGAGCCCGTGATGAAGACACTCTGTGGCTGAGCCCGTGATGAAGACACTCTGTGGTCGACGCCGTCCCTACAGCCTTGAGCTGCACTGAAGATTAAGCAGCGTCTGTGGAAGACACTCAACTGCCCCTCACTGGTAGAGACAAAACAGCCTGATGGACGCATCCTGATCACTGAAAGCTTCTCCACAAACAACAGAAGCTTTGCTCCTCAAATTCACGTGGACATCAGTGAAGAGCCCCTGCCTGAGGAGCCCAGAAGAAAGAAGCCCAGACACTGAGTCATCACAGTGTCACATGGAGCCTGAAGTATGTAAATACTGTATAGTTATATAGTAAGTTTTTGTTTGTAGAGTAAATTTCATTTGTAAGTTTTTAGTTTGTAGAGTAAATTTTCAGCACATGTTCTGGTGTTTAGCGCTTTGCTACATGGTTGTCAGGATGTTTTGAGTGGTTTTCTGTGCGTTCACATGGTTTTGCCAAGCTTCTCTGTGCGGTTGTTAGGATGTTGTTTTGCAGTTGCTGGCCTCCTCTGAGTGTTTTTCGTGCATTGCTACGTGGCTGTTAGTTATGAGTGGTTGGTTGATTTGCAGTTGGTTTAAACAGTTGGGTTAGAGAAGGTTAGGGTCCCTTGCACGGTTTGCAGCTTGACGTGCTGTGAGGGCTTGTGTGCATCAGTGATGCTGAGAGCTACGCCACTGGTACTTCACAACTACTGGTAGGGTCTTCCCATAGTGGACAGGTCTCAGCTGAGATGCCAGACGAAGACAAACCACCTGATTCTGGACAGCAGCAGATTGGCCTGATGTTCAGAAGATCACAGTCTTATGTATACGGGTAAGTTGGAGAGATGTACAGCATATAATAATTATACATTTTTAAATTAATTTTTCAGTCAAATTGAGGATTATGGAATCTGTAAAAGTTTGGTTTCAATTTATAATCAGTTTATTAAAATATTTAATCTCAATTAATTGCATGATTTTTCAGAGTTAATCAACATGAATTAAAACTAAACTAAAACAGAGATAAAGCAATCAAAGCATAACAACTAAACATCAGAAGCTCAAAACTATTCTTCATATACTTTTGATGCTGAGAGATACGCCACTGGTACTTCACAACTACTGGTAGGGTCTTCCCATAGTGGACAGGTCTCAGCTGAGATGCCAGACGAAGACAAACCACCTGTTTCTGGACAGCAGCAGATTGGCCTGATGTTCAGAAGATCACAGTCTTATGTATACGGGTAAGTTGGAGAGATGTACAGCATATAATAATTATACATTTTTAAATTAATTTTTCAGTCAAATTGAGGATTATGGAATCTGTAAAAGTTTGGTTTCAATTTATAATCAGTTTATTAAAATATTTAATCTCAATTAATTGCATGATTTTTCAGAGTTAATCAACATGAATTAAAACTAAACTAAAACAGAGATAAAGCAATCAAAGCATAACAACTAAACATCAGAAGCTCAAAACTATTCTTCATATACTTTTTACATACAGTAGATTGTATATAAAATAAATATGCAGTGTTAAATTTGTATACACATTTATATACTTATAGATTTGTTTTACCATGCCAAAAAAGCCACTTATCTTATATAAACACTAAATTATATAATTTGTATATTAACTAAATACACTAAATATGAGTTTCTAAATATACAATATTTTAAACGTTTTAATAATTACAATTATATGTTAAAACAGTCTGTAGGTGTCAGTCTTGAGCAGCCCGTTAAGACCAGAGAGTTATAAACAATGAAACAAATAAAAAGTATTTGTAAAAAAAAAAAAAAAAAAAAAAAGACAAACGTATAAGACCATGTTCTTAACGGCTTTAATGATGGAAAGAACTACAATCCCATTAAGCATTGCGAATGGCATAATATGTAATTGCAGTTGTAAACTAAATAATCTGTTTATAGGCTACCATCCAGGACTTATTTATGCTTCTCATTTTTCGCTTTATATAAATGTCGCTAAATAAATACAAGTAAAATGTTCCAGGCGGTCCTAATCAGGGAGAACCCTGAAAAAACACAAAACTCAATTAGATCAGCACATTATTCATAGATATACTTTGTCTTATTTTCAAAAGTAAATCATGCATCATGACTTAGTAGTGACTCACCTCCTTGGATTGATCTGCTCCAAGTCTAAAGCAACAGCAGATAATGTCAACAAAATACCCAATCAATCTGTGGAGCAGACCTGTGTCAAGAAGCACAGGACAAGAAAAGCCTATGAAGCCATGTTTGGCTATGATTTGCTAACAACACTCTGATAATGCATTTTATAACCTTGAGAATATGTTTAATAATATTTTAAATGACTACCATATACAATATAATCATCTGCTGTAATCGATTTACTTTTATATTTACTTTATAACATGTGAAGGTTACCTGAAGTTGAAAAGATTCCTCCAACGATGCCACACAGTCTCACAAGAAACACAGAGAGAGGCATATGCTCCTCTCTCACCCTTACCATTAATGGACTCAGTTTATATTTAATAAAGATCCCAGATACACCATGACTGCCTTTCTTATTGCTTACAACCCGCTCCTATATGACAGGCAACATGACCATCAGCAACACACACTTTCACACACTTGTACAAATGCATGCACAGGGCACAAATACTCTAGAACCTACCCGTTCTGTAACAGAAAACTGATGCATGTTCACTGAAACACCTGATGTGTGCAGCTTGGTGGGCACAACTGTGATAAAATACTGAAACAGCATATTTTCTGAAGAAAAAAAAAAAAGTGTTGGTAAGTGTATTGCATGTAGAAACAGGCATTCTCGACTTATTCTACATTTCAATTTATTTGCATATTTGCATACATAATTTGAAAGCAATCTAATATAGATTCTGACTGCATATTGTGCTGTGGGTTATGTTGGACAAACATTGAAATATATAACAAAAAATACCTACGCTCTAATGTAATTTTTTCTGTGCCATCAAGGGGATTGATGTGTCCAGGAACATCGTTTCCAAAAGATAAATAATCTATCCGATGTGAGAAGTTAAGAGCAACTAGAGAAATGAGAGAGACAAGGCAAATGAATGTAAGAATTTGCATGCATTAATGTCAACAATAGAAAAGAACAGAATTTCCTTTACATGTGAATTATAAAATTATATTTACAATTTTTCTTGCAAATTTAGAGTCCTCCATCTAGTGAATATCTAAAGAATTACATGACAAGTTAATAAAATTTGTCTTTAAATGTAAATGGTTTATGCCTTGACAACCAGGGCCCGTATTCACAAAACATCTTACCACTAAGAGTTCTCCTAAACAGCAGTAAAAGTTTTTAGCTAAGAGTTTTCTCTTAAAACCTATTCACAAAGCTGCTGAGACAAACATTTACTAAGGAATAGAGAGAAGTCTTAAGCTAAGAGAAAGGGAGGGGTTTGACCTCGTTGCTATGGATGATGTCAGCTTGCTTACTAACTATGCACACAGTGATTGGCTGATAGTCTCTGTCAAATATTTATTCATAGAAATATTGAAGAGCTCAATATTATGTTGCCATATTCAAATGAATGTTTTAAAATAAAACTGCTAATTGCAACATTCAAAAAAAAGATTTTAAAATGCAGGCTAAGTGTCACTAATTAAACTATATATATATATATATATGTGTGTGTGTGTGTGTGTATGTTCAGCTAATTGTCAGCCTGTATGCTTCTTGTAAAAAATTAGTGAATATGCATATAAACAGCCTTTTAATTAACAGAGTAGAATAATTCTTGGTTGATAGTAAGACATGCAAACAAAAAAGAAAACCAAACTGGACGCACGAACAGCTGTTACTTCTTGCCCAATTGGTTAATGAAAACAAATAATCAAAGGAACATTTGAAGTTGGGATATCCTCCAAAACCAAAGGCGATACCTTTTTAAAATCACATTATCGTCAAATATTTCTAAAATGTTTACGTTCCGAGGCAGATTTAGGACTGACACGCTCCATTATTTTTAAGATTTTCTCCTAAATTGGCGAGTTAAGAGTAAGATTTTTTGTGAATACGGGCCCAGATCATTTAATTAAAATCTCTGAAATGACTCCAATGATATTTTGATACATCTAAAAAATAATTACCTTACCTAATAACTGTGAGTAAAACTTACCTTCATTTTTGATTAATGAAGCAAAATGGGCATGACCTCTGATAGTATCAATTGGTCTAGGAGCACAGAATCAACACGTAATTTCTTAGGAGACATCTTTATAAGAGTACAGCTGTATTTCTGTTGCTAAAAAAAGTGTATACTTACTTGCCTAATGTGATATGGAAAGTCCCCGCCACTTTAATGACATAGATTTGTCCATGTATCCTACATGCATTCTGGGAATTAGATGGAGAATCATTTCTGTGCAAAGAAAAAAGCAGAAACACTTAAGTTAAGAAAAACTTAGCTCATCATGTTTGATCAAATCCTTAATAAAATTAATAAAAGTCTTTCTGCCACGTACTGTACATATTGGATTGAATATTATTATAATAATAATGTAAACAGATGTACAGTACTGTGGAACTGGGTCAGAAAAGTATCCTTTCAGCGCTGATTTAAAGAGTACATCTTGAAGTGAACGCTCTTCCCTCAGTCGGTTTTGAATCTGATGTAATATCCTTAAAAACAAGAATCACAGATGAAGACTATAATTGCATACATATATTGTCAGGACCCCATTTTATTTTAGCTTCCCATAATATGCATTAAAGTGATAACTGACAAAGATGTCACACATACTGATACCACAGTTTTTTCTGTGGAGAGGGCTCAAAGCTGACCTGAAAGAAAAAGAAATAGTTGCTGCTGGTTATGATAAGCTGTCTAGTGAAATCTGAAATTCAGTAGATGGTTTTAAGTTACTTACAGGATCATATTTAAGTTCCTTTGATGCAATGATAGTGCCAGTAATATCCAACACATCTGCACCCACCCCTAGACAAGAATAAGGGCTTCTACATGAGATGAGTTGATTCCGAATAATTAATACATGAAACATGTTGAAAAACAATTCCAATGCATAAAAGATGTACTTACTTTCACATTTAATTGCAACTGTGACGTCAATTTTTATCTTCAGTTTACTGACAATGAAAAGAAAAAAGAAAAAAAAAAATCTGATCTTTTAATTTAAAAAAATGTATTTGACAAAATCTCAATAAATATGCACCTGTAAGCATAGCAAATATACACACCTAGTAAAATCTGTGTCTACTTCGTATTCATATTTCAACCATGAGTCCTGGAATACAAAAAACTCTGAGATGGTCAGAAGTGCCATGAGGATGAATACAATCAGAGACACTGGTGAAGACAACCAAAAGGTCTTAATCAATAACATGTACTGTAGCGAACACCTGTCCTATTCAGACAGCAAATGTGAAAATTCACCTGTGCCTCCAAAAGCTGATGTTTCAACATAGCTCTCTGGAACTTTAGGAAAGGCATCTAGTTCTTTAACTAAGTTGAGAGTATTTCTTCTGTTCAGCCTCTTCATTGTTTAGTGGATTTATCTCAGTTCTGTACATGCAAAAACATGAATTTATTTCTGAATAAAATCACATTTAATGGTCTGGCCATCTGTGTCACCTTAATGCAAGACACTACAGGGTAAAAATAGTAACTAACAGGTATCACCATACTTCCCCAGTTATTACAAGTTTATGAAATCTTTTAATATGCAAACAAGGCACTATTTAATTAAATATACAGTCATTTTCATAAATTTTTAGAACACTGGATCAAGCCAAGATCAAAATTATTATTTCATTTTGTTGACATTATAGAGTTAAAGGTTTTGACAGAGGGGATTTTGGATATTCCTTTTTATCACTCTATAAATCACAAATTACTGTCAACAGCAAGAAAAAAAAATCTCGATGTTATAGTAATAAAAAGTTATGTCTTAGATCCCCCTGCAAAACCCCTCAGAATATAGATAGGAATGCAACTGGAAAGTTTGGTGTGTGTAAATTCTATTGAAGAGATTTATGGCTCATTTTGAGAAAACTGCCTTTAAAGAAACATGCAATTAAAATCTGTAGACAAATACATAAAATAAATTTAAATATGTATTTTGGATGTTTTCTTTCCACTAGTCTGTTTGTTTTTTTCCTGTAGTGTCTTGTGAGAACAGCTAATAAGGCAATATCTGTGTTTGATTCCAATTATATATATACCTGTGCAGATTGGCAAAATTGTAAACTTTAGTTATATTAATGTAAACACTTGTAGTGCTTGTTTTCTGGCATAAATGCTAAACACAAGCTAAATGCTAAATAAGATCATTCTTCCTGTTCACCCAACTCAGATAATTGTGCTATTAAAGCTTATTTCTGCACAATCAACTCTAAAAAGCAAACTGACACAACAAGACTGATGCAAATGTGGATTAAATCTTCGTCTTACCTCTTTCTAAACACCTTTACGACTAAGGTTCGAACACTTTCCAATGAGACGATCCATTCACTGCCATTCAAATGGGCTGTTTTGCAACCACTGCCACATTGTGAAACAGCTGGTTTTTCCGGTTAAACAAAACCCAGCACAGTTTTCCTTGAAACAAAAGTTGACTGACAGAACTGAAATACCTGAAGAATCTGCAGATGCTTCATCCTGAACTCACTGAAGCTCAGTAGCAATATCAGTTTGCAATAAGGCTTCAGTTAAAATAAATACATAAATAAATGTTTACCTAAAGAAAACATGCAATTAAAATCTGTAGATACAAATACATAAAATAAATTTAAATATGTATTTTGGATGTTTTCTTTCCACTAGTCTGTTTGTTTTTTTCCTGTAGTGTCTTGTGAGAACAGCTAATAAGGCAATATCTGTGTTTGATTCCAATTATATATATACCTGTGCAGATTGGCAAAATTGTAAACTTTAGTTATATTAATGTAAACACTTGTAGTGCTTGTTTTCTGGCATAAATGCTAAACACAAGCTAAATGCTAAATAAGATCATTCTTCCTGTTCACCCAACTCAGATAATTGTGCTATTAAAGCTTATTTCTGCACAATCAACTCTAAAAAGCAAACTGACACAACAAGACTGATGCAAATGTGGATTAAATCTTCGTCTTACCTCTTTCTAAACACCTTTACGACTAAGGTTCGAACACTTTCCAATGAGACGATCCATTCACTGCCATTCAAATGGGCTGTTTTGCAACCACTGCCACATTGTGAAACAGCTGGTTTTTCCGGTTAAACAAAACCCAGCACAGTTTTCCTTGAAACAATAGTTGACTGACAGAACTGAAATACCTGAAGAATCTGCAGATGCTTCATCCTGAACTCACTGAAGCTCAGTAGCAATATCAGTTTGCAATAAGGCTTCAGTTAAAATAAATACATAAATAAATGTTTACCTAAAGAAAGTTGCGAAGTTAAGAGGAAGTTGTTCACAAATTTTGACAGGATTAATCAGCTTAAAGTGAAAGTAGTTGTACAAATTGCTTTGGTGTAACTCAGTAGCACTTAATATCAAGAGAATATTATGACAATAATTTAAAACAAAATTATTTTACACAATTATCGCATTTACAAATTGTCAGAGAAGAAACCTTTTTTGTGCAGTTCTAATCTGAATTGTATCAATATTTTGAAACATTAGTGTATAAAGAACAGCAAAAAAAATAAAAATAAAGACTCTTTACAGCCTTCAGTTTTAAGTCCATGTTTTTTGTTTTAAGTTTTATTTTAGAGATGTTTACAATCTATGCACAATGCTTATTTTATCTTGAACATTTACTTTAAATTTCATTTTAATATACCATATAGATGTTTTATTTTAATCTCTTAATCTATTAGTATAGGCTAACTTTTTTATTGTTCTCGTTTATATATCTTATCAATATCTGTGCATCTGCAGGTTTTATACATTTATAAATAAAAATAATAACAAAAAACATTCCTTCGAGAATCTGACGAAATATATTTCGTAGCATTGACTTTTTTACGTACTAGCAGCCTAAATAATGTGAAAAGCAGAAAAAAGCTCCCCAGTCACGTGTAGTCCTAAGGTCTCAAAGAGGTCGTTCAATTGCGCATGCGCACTCGCCTTTTACCGCGCAGTGACCTGCTCCTGTCAAAGTGAGGAACATCTTTCATCTCCGCATTAATATATTCGGCAAAGTTGAAAGGTACTTGTATTTATTCATATTGCGTATTAAGTATTACCCACCAAATGTAACAAACTGAAGAGTATACATGAATAATACACGTGCTCTGCCGATTAACCTAGCAAGCCACGTGTAACCAGAATTGCTCAGAATCAGTCCGGTCATTATTATATTTAATACACTGGATTTTTTTAGTTAGTTCAGGGACTAACAGTTATATAACTTACGTTTTATCAAGGAAAGTCCTGTGAGAAGCGTATGCGTGCTGTATTGACATATTTATACACAATGATAAGTATTATGCCAGGACATAGCCTACATGACCCTCCACGTTCGTTAAACCTTATGTTTCAGTGCTTTTGCTTGAGATATACTTATCTGAAGCTCTAATCTAACGCACCTGAACCAGCTAACTATGGTCTCTGGGTTCATTTGAAAATGACAGACAAGTGTAATGTAAGAGTTTGCTAAACTCTTTTTTTGACTAGCCTTGCATCATCCCAATTACACACACAATGACCCATGGTACTGATTAACAATGTATTTTACCTCACAGTAAGACAAACGAAGAATGAATCGAGCCTTCACTCAGACCTTGATGAGACCCAATCTCCCTTTGAGGAGACCTGCAACTGGACCGAGTTCACTTACTCCTAGAGGCCCAGCACCAACATTTCACGAGCTCTCTCAAGAAAATCTGCTAGCAAGTGACATGCTAGATGGTATGGGTGAAATGATTTTGAGCACTACACATGCATGTCGTAAAAAAACAATCTAGATCATATTCTTTTTCCAATTCTTTAGGTTTTATGGGTGATGCTGTTCGAAAGGAGAATGTGATTTCTGCAAAAAAGAGTCAGAATGTATGTATTGTGATAAATGGGCTGTTTTGCAACCACTGCCACATTGTGAAACAGCTGGTTTTTCCGGTTAAACAAAACCCAGCACAGTTTTCCTTGAAACAATAGTTGACTGACAGAACTGAAATACCTGAAGAATCTGCAGATGCTTCATCCTGAACTCACTGAAACTCAGTAGCAATATCAGTTTGCAATAAGGCTTCAGTTAAAATAAATACATAAATAAATGTTTACCTAAAGAAAGTTGCGAAGTTAAGAGGAAGTTGTTCACAAATTTTGACAGGATTAATCAGCTTAAAGTGAAAGTAGTTGTACAAATTGCTTTGGTGTAACTCAGTAGCACTTAATATCAAGAGAATATTATGACAATAATTTAAAACAAAATTATTTTACACAATTATCGCATTTACAAATTGTCAGAGAAGAAACCTTTTTTGTGCAGTTCTAATCTGAATTGTATCAATATTTTGAAACATTAGTGTATAAAGAACAGCAAAAAAAATAAAAATAAAGACTCTTTACAGCCTTCAGTTTTAAGTCCATGTTTTTTAATTGTTTTACGTTTTATTTTAGAGATGTTTACAATCTATGCACAATGCTTATTTTATCTTGAACATTTACTTTAAATTTCATTTTAATATACCATATAGATGTTTTATTTTAATCTCTTAATCTATTAGTATAGGCTAACTTTTTTATTGTTCTCGTTTATATATCTTATCAATATCTGTGCATCTGCAGGTTTTATACATTTATAAATAAAAATAATAACAAAAAACATTCCTTCGAGAATCTGACGAAATATATTTCGTAGCATTGACTTTTTTACGTACTAGCAGCCTAAATAATGTGAAAAGCAGAAAAAAGCTCCCCAGTCACGTGTAGTCCTAAGGTCTCAAAGAGGTCGTTCAATTGCGCATGCGCACTCGCCTTTTACCGCGCGGTGACCTGCTCCTGTCAAAGTGAGGAACATCTTTCATCTCCGCATTAATATATTCGGCAAAGTTGAAAGGTACTTGTATTTATTCATATTGCGTATTAAGTATTACCCACCAAATGTAACAAACTGAAGAGTATACATGAATAATACACGTGCTCTGCCGATTAACCTAGCAAGCCACGTGTAACCAGAATTGCTCAGAATCAGTCCGGTCATTATTATATTTAATACACTGGATTTTTTTAGTTAGTTCAGGGACTAACAGTTATATAACTTACGTTTTATCAAGGAAAGTCCTGTGAGAAGCGTATGCGTGCTGTATTGACATATTTATACACAATGATAAGTATTATGCCAGGACATAGCCTACATGACCCTCCACGTTCGTTAAACCTTATGTTTCAGTGCTTTTGCTTGAGATATACTTATCTGAAGCTCTAATCTAACGCACCTGAACCAGCTAACTATGGTCTCTGGGTTCATTTGAAAATGACAGACAAGTGTAATGTAAGAGTTTGCTAAACTCTTTTTTTGACTAGCCTTGCATCATCCCAATTACACACACAATGACCCATGGTACTGATTAACAATGTATTTTACCTCACAGTAAGACAAACGAAGAATGAATCGAGCCTTCACTCAGACCTTGATGAGACCCAATCTCCCTTTGAGGAGACCTGCAACTGGACCGAGTTCACTTACTCCTAGAGGCCCAGCACCAACATTTCACGAGCTCTCTCAAGAAAATCTGCTAGCAAGTGACATGCTAGATGGTATGGGTGAAATGATTTTGAGCACTACACATGCATGTCGTAAAAAAACAATCTAGATCATATTCTTTTTCCAATTCTTTAGGTTTTATGGGTGATGCTGTTCGAAAGGAGAATGTGATTTCTGCAAAAAAGAGTCAGAATGTATGTATTGTGATAACATCTGTATAAAAAAAATTAAGATTTATCTTATAAAGTTATTTTTTAAGTCAAAAACCTAAATTCAAACTAATATGTCTTAATACTTTAACATTGGTTGTATTGCTATGTGTATATATTTGATATATTTTCCTCTTGAGGCTTTAAAGAAATAGGTCACCCAAAAATAAAAATTGTCATCACTTATTTCCAAACCTGTATGGATTTCTCAATGGGGACCGGACACAGTTTGGTTACCCACATTCTTCAAAATATCTTCTTTAGTGTTCAGCAGAAGAAATAAATTTATATAGGTTTGGAAGAACTTGAGGGTGAGTAAATAATGACAGCATTTTTATATTTGGGTGAACTATCCCTTTGACCAGAAATCAGAGAGCATTCAGTAGTAGTTAAAGTATTTAATTTTTCTGCAGTGTGGAGACTTTTTGTCTCCCCCCCAGACAGCAGGGTCTATGGTGGGCCCACTGGTAAAGCTGTGCAATTACTGCAGTCACCAGGGTAGGTTACTTTGCTCGATTTCAGTGTTTTAACATTTCTTTGTCATTTTGTCACACTGCAAAAAAAATTCTTACACAATATTTTGTATTGTTTTCCAGTACAAATATCTAAACATTGTTAAATCAAGA